ATAAAAAAAGCTAGCACTCCTTAAAAATGCATTAAATATATAATTATGTAAACAGATAAAAACAATGTTTACCTGAAAGGAGGGCACAAACATCTATTAAAAGAATTTACAATGTTTTACATATAAAGGGGATCCAACATAGGGATACCAAAAGAAAAATTACTTATCTTTTGTGAGTTAAAACATGCTCACAAAATTAGACGCCGAAGAAATGTAGAAAAAATATGTATCAGCCCCTTAATTTAAAAGACAGGACAACTAAGTCCAGAGTATAATTTACAAATATAAAAAAGATTTTTATTGGTATTTGATATTGCACAGATGTTCTTTTTTTATATAGAAGAAAAAACTGACGTTGTTTAATAATAAAATTTAATACTAAGAAAAAACACAACTTCTTCACAAAAGGTAGATTTGATTGTGCTTGCACTTGGGTAGGCAATATTTTTACACTTCCCTGAACAATTTAAGCTTTTAATAAGTGCATATTAGTAGGCAAGTAAGAAGATTAGTTTTAATTTGCAAATAAAATTTGTATTTATCAATAACCTCAGGAAAACATGCTAATATCTTTGTGCCTCCATTTCTCTCGTTGGTAAATTAGAAGTAATATCTATCTCCACCTTTAAAGAATTTCTGGGGCATTGGGGGATGGGGGATAGGTCTTAGGGGCGGTCATCCATTGAAAAAGAGGTTAGGAATCTGGTCTTGAGGCTGTCAGCAAGGCAAGCAAAGTGGTCTGACTTGGAGTACAGGTTGATTTCTTGTGGCTTTGAAGGAAGCTGATGGGTATTATTGTGGGCCAAACTTAAAGGTGTGACTATCAACTCCACAGGATGGCCAGTATGACATGACGAAATGAATGGGGAATGCCTGGCATACAGGAAGTACTTAGCCATGTTAGTTCCTGTTCCCTCTATACCGCTTTGGTATAAAAAAGAAGCAATATTCTTTTCTAAAGCTACAATGAATGTAAACCACCACAAGAATTGATAAGTTCAATTTAGACAACTTGCCAGCTGCCAAAACTTAGGTACTGATAAAGATTCTTCTGTTGTCGCAGAAGCAATCGTTAGCTAGAGTGTGGCAGTAAACATACTTTTACATGTGTGTAAGCAAGAACACTCAAAAGAACAGCTTTCATTGCTTTCTGATTTTATATCTTTTACTATTTCTCTGGAGAACTTAAATACAAAATACTGATTATAGATTCATCCCCGTTAGCAGAAATAAAGAATATTCATGAATAGCCAAAAGACACTCAAGGCAATAGGAAAGAAAAAAGTCCTTAGAAAGGAAAACCAAACCAAATGATTGGTTAGTGAATATTTATGAGCTGCTTATAATGACAATAGGTTTCTATTAATAGTAACAAAGACTTGCAAAATTAGAGGTTTTGCATAAAATATTCATGACAGCCATTTACATTTCCAATTTTCAATCACTGTTTCTGACTACACTGTAGAACTCTCAAAATAGAATCCTAAATCTTTATATTAGAATGAACCTTAAAAGTCTGCAACTTAATTTTATTTTTCCTAAAATTAACTGCCTTCCCATTTAATCCTACTCCTAGTTGAAAAACCAGGGTGAGTACGCATCTTTCAACTAACATTAGTTGAGTGCCTACTACTTGGCAGGCCCAGGCACCATGCTAAGCACAGAGAATGCAAAGGAACACTGACATCCTTGCCCTGGTTTCTCTTCATGAACAGATGAATTTCCACATCACACATGGTCAAAGACATGGGAACAGAGAATATGGAGAGAGGATGGCAAAACTGGGAATGCCTGAGCTTGTTAGAAACTGTCTCCACAAAAAGACATTTGGGCCAGCTCTTCACACCATCCTTGTGAAGCATTTCACCAGGCAGAAGAAATGATGGAGGTGCAGTGGAGAAGGAAAAAGAACGACAGGCATATAGGAACTACAATAAATGTAGCTAAGTGGTGTTTTCTAACCTGAGAAAAGACAAATTTTACGTGTTTCCAACAGATTGTTTTTATTCTCTGAAAGGTTGGGTGGCATGAACTTCCATCTCCTCCTCTCCCCAGGAACTATAATTTATTGAATGCCTATGTGTGGTGCTATATTATTATATATATATGATTTCATTCAAGAGATCAAATGCAAAACAACTTTGCAAGGTAGGTAAGTTTACCTCCATTTAATAGATAAGGAAACAAGTTCAAAGTAGGTAAGAATTTCTCCAAGATCTGTCTGACTCTGAAGTTCATACTCTTCCCCCTATACTGCTTCCAAAGAAAGATTTTTTTGACCTGCAAATTGAATGAGGGCCACAGTAAAGTTTTAAAACCATGAATAATAGTGAACTTTATGAGTGCTTACCATGCACCAGATACCGTTTGAAGCATTTTACATATATTAATTTATTTAAGCCTCACACTTCCCTGGGAGGTAGGTACACTTATTACTGTCACTTAACAGATAAATCTGAGGTCCAAAAAGTCAGTGACCTTGCTCAAGGTCACAGAGCTGGTAAATGGCAGAGCCAAAATTCAAATCCAGGCAGTCTGGCTCCAGTGATCCCGCGCTTCAGAGCTCCGTATTCCATCTTTTAACTAGCCAAATCCTAACTCTAGACCAGCAGCAAAGACCTTGCTGATCCCAGGCAGAAGGTACAAAGTGGTAAAGAGGTCTTAGGACTCCAAATAATAATGAGAAAAAAAATTCAGTGTGTCTTAAGAATAGGGTATTGATTGATGAGAGGAGGGAAGGAAGTAGCAGGAGAAACAGGTTTCTCTTTTTATTCAATGCTGTGCAAACAAAGGGTTCTCAATTTACATTTCCTGTTTTTTTTTTGAAACAGGAAATTTCACCATAAGAAAAGCATTTTCGAATATTAAGAACTGAGAGATGCGTAATATGGCATGCACAACATAGACCAATTACTCATGTGCATAGATCCCCAAACATTTTCTACTTGAGTCTCTATGAATTGTCCTCTTCATCACACCCCATGTATTTTGATGAAACAAGACTTTTGATAATTATTTGAAAAGAAGTTGAATTTTGCCATTCTTTAGATTTTTTAGATTTTACTATACCTCTAACATTTGCATAGTCAATATTTATGCCACAATAAAATGTAGGTAAATATAATATCTTTTTAAAACTGTATTTAAATAGTGGGTTTTTTGACTTATCAGCACCAGTGTTTCAAAGCAGCAAATATCATTTGATCTAAATATATTCTCATCAACCACCAGATGGCATAAGGTGTGAGGGTTTTATTTTGACAGGGTCACTATGCACATGATAATTTGACCTGTAACTTTGAAATAATGTATTTGGAAAAATGTTCCAGCACTCAAACAGCTCACAATTATTTTAGCCATATGTAGAAGTAGATGGATAAATTGAAAATGACATGGTTCTACTTTTTCTAAATTTTTGGGTTCTGTGGGATGTTGGCATTACATAATGAATCGATGATCAAACAAATAAAACAGTTCTGTTAAAGGAAATAAAAAAGGAAGTCATGTCAAAGCAAAGTTAACCTTATACTCTAAGTAGGTTTCTTCAACTCCAAAAGAAACTTAAAACATGCCTTCAAGAAAAAAACATGCTTATACTCCTTCAAGTTTTGCTTAATAAAAACTTTTTACTCTCTGTAATTTATCCTGAAAGCAGAAAAGTGTATCAAATGCCAAAGCTTTTCTCTACTTTAGCTTGAAGGAAAGTTGTTACAGAATCAACAGAAGAAAGAAAATCCAACTGAAAAACTCAGTCTGAACTGTATGATGTTAAAGGATGTAAAGTATATTTTAATATACTTAATTAAAAAAAAAAATGTACTCAATTCTGGCTAGGCACAGTGGCTCATGCCTGTAATCCCAGCACTTTTGGAGGCCGAGGTAAGCAGATCATGAGTTCAGGAGATGGAGACCATTCTGGCTAACATGGTGAAACACTGTCGCTACTAAAAATACAAAAAATTAGCCAGGCATGGTGGTATGTACCTGTAGTCCCAGCTACTCGGGAGGTTGAGTCAGGAGAATCACTTGAACCCAGGAGGTGGAGGTTGCAGTGAGCCAAGATCGTCCCACTGCACTCCAGTCTGGGCAACAGAGTGAGATTCTGTCTCAACAAAACAAAACAAAACAAAACAAAACAAAAATATATATATATATACACCCAAACACACCCAATTCCTCAATTGCTACACAAATTCAAAATGCAGCACGTTACCTCTATTAATCATGTCTTTTCGTCTAGAAAAGAGGGCACATGGTTAACAGTAAACTGAAGAGCTAAAAATTGAGATAAATGAAATGCAAAAAATAGGATCCTTTATGGTAGCACATTCACTGAGTACCTTGGAATCAGCACCCCAGAATAAAAGACTAGCACCACACAGCTAATACCACAGAACAGAAATGGCATCTTTGCTCTAACAAGATGAAGCAGAAAAACTGCCTTCAGGTGTCAAGAGACCAAAGATGAGATTAAGTTTCCTTCCTTATTGTGGTCTAAGAGTCAATGATTTCTAAAGATACAATAATTTATGTTTGTATTTTGCTATATCTTTCCTCATTACATTTAATATATTTGGTTCTTGAATGAGAAATCTGTGGGAGAAGAAACAATGTTTGGAGCTACAGAAAGGATGAAAAGCTAATTGATGATATATAATTTTTTGCTTTTTTAAAAAAAGCCATTACTAAGTCACATGTTGATGAGGTTGATGGAAATTAGAGTAAGAGAAATAATGGGGAGGATATTATGAGATTTATCCACTGTGGATCGTGTCCTATCTCCATCTTTGGCAGCCAATATGTAGCAAAGATATTTCCTACCTGGGTTCATACGAAAGCAAGAAATGATCCTTTCCCTTATTCTTGTTCTTATACTTAGAAAAGGGAGCAAGTTGTTATTTTCAAAAGTTCCTGCTGTAATTTCCAAGTTGGACAGTAGAAAGTGGAATAATAGACAATTCAAGTTAAGGTACGCATTCCAGGCACTTAATATTTCTTACTTTAAATTCCATTCTTTATGATGCTGTAGATCCATTTTCTTCCATTTGTAATACTGTCCAATGAATTTTGGACCTTTGAGCACTGAAATTAGAATATTAAAAAAAGAAGCTATGTATACATTCTTTAATAATAGTTAAAAGTTAAAAATCATTCACTTCTTGTTAAGTTGATATGTGGCAATAGCATATACTATATAATTCAAATCATATTTCAATGCTCAGAAACTTTCCAAATTATTTGCTTTTACTGGAACATTGTAATGTTAGATATTGTTTGAAATAGGTAGGTTGTGACTTGCAAGTTTTTTTCATTATAATGAAAAACATTATATATCCTTTAGAGTGTTAAATAAAATTTATAAGAGACCATTGTTTTAGACTGAGCATGTACCCTAGGCATTAACAGACCAAACCAAAATGGAGTCACTTGTGCTGTCATGCAATAAAACTGAAACTTTAAGGAAGCAGGAAAATCTTACAAACAGACCAGTTTTTTCAAAAGAAGAGATTCACAGCCATCAGTCAGAAGGGGCCCAGTCAACTTGAAGTGGCATGATAAGGAAGTCCCCTGTGCTTTAACCCTTAAAAGGAAAGTAACTGAAGTGCCTTGTGTTAACCAATCCATTTTTTGTATTATTCTGTTTTCTTATTCCTGCTCTAGCTACCTTATGAGAACTAACTGTTCTGCTGTGCTCCAGAGAGCACTTATCTATTTTTAAGATGAGATGCTGCCTGATTCACGAATTACTAATGCAAGCCAATTAGCCCTTTAAATTTATTGAAATATAGCCTAGCCAACATGGTGAAACCCCATCTCTATGAAAAATACAAAAATTAGCCAGGCGTGGTGGCACACACCAGTAATACCAGCTACTCAGGTGGCTGAGGCACAAGAGTTATTTGAACCCAGGAGTCAGAGGTTGCAGTGAGCTGAGATCACACCACTGCACTCCAGCCTGGGTGAAAAAGCGAGACCCTCTCTCAAAAATAAATAAAAATTTAAAAAGAGGAGTTTTGCTTTTAGCAACAATAATGAAGAGAGTATTAAAATAACTCATATAAAACCCAGATATCACAGTTTAACAAAATTCTAATTCAAATTGAAGTTTTGAAGTTGGAAATGACATTAAAGACCTTGCTTGATCTTTCACAGAGCAAGAATCTCCAACAGATGATAATCCAGGCTCTGAACGAATTACTTGTCAACTACAGAAAATGCACCACTTTGTAGTTGGGAGACTGCTCACTCCATTGGCAGGTAAGTCTTACAATGTCCTTCCTGAATCTGACTGCAGCGAGTTTCCACTGGTCTTGGTTCTAACCTCTGGAGTGATACTAAGTTCACCCCTCTCCCACAGGAGACAGCCCTCTAATAGCTCACAGGGAAGTCTCAGTTCTTTCAACTGTTTCTTAGGATATGATTTTCTAGAAACTTAACCATCCTTAATTTCCTGGTGATAAACTCTTTGATGTTCCTATTAAAGTTTGTGTCTAGAACTGGATCAATTGGTTTGAAGCAAAGATGCAAATGGGCTTACTACCTCCCTTGCTCTGTGCACTATCAATTCAGCTCAGATCTGCATTAGTATTTTCTGGAATTCACATTACATCACCACTGGCTCATAAGTTTGTGGTTAATTACAAGCCTACAATTTCAATCAAATTCACATAAGATTTATTAAAAACCTACTATGTTTAAGGCACTGGCAATTTTTACATGAAATATTATTAAGCCAGATCATATGCCTATCTATTTTCCTATTTCTTATTATTGTTCTGAGCTTAGCTTACAGTCTTGAACTATTTAACCAGCTAGATGCTCTCCATCAGTCTTGGCCATGTCTGGGGCCACCTTCTTCTTTCTTCTTCTCCTCTTCTTTCTTCTTTCTCCTCCTCCTTCTTCTTCTTCCTCT